ACAGTGAACACTACGCTGTCGGTTTTTGGTTGGCCTTAAGTGAAGGTAAGTTTAAGATTTCCAAAACCCTTTTATCTTAAACTAGGCCTAGCTTAAGGATTATTAGGAGTACTCTGTATACTGGAATATAGTTTAATTAGTTAAACTAGAATTCATTTAAGGGTTGACAAATATTAAAGTGATTGGCCTTAGACTAAGAATAGTTTAAGGATACTGTTGAATGACAAATAATGAATATACATGTTGGATGATTGAATAATGAATGTTGAAAATTGAATATTGATTATTGAATATATGAACTGAACATTATGTGCATGATATCAAATGGTTGATTATGAATTGAGATTCAATTTATGTGGATGTTCGACGCATTAGATATGCTTACTCAGCTTTACCGCTGAGCGTGTAGTGTGTTTTATTTACTACACGCAGGTCAATAGAATGATGTGACGTGATCTTGGAGGCAGACGGAGGCGAGATTGTCGGAATGGATGTGATGGTTTTGAATTAAAGAATATAAATAAATTATGTTTGTGATTATGATTTGTTAAGCTTCCGCAATATTGAAAACTCTGTACTGTTTGTGATATAAAAAAATATTATTATGATAAATAAAAGTGTTTGAAAAGTTTTAAATTTTACGATTACCAAGTTAATACTTTAGTCCGAAAGGGGCTGCAGACCTGGACGGATTAGGGTGTTACAACTCATGTAATCCTTCTTTTATGGGTATCTTTCCACAAATAGTTTTTTTATCTTCTATCATGTTGCTGTTAATTTAAGGACTAAAAGTGCAATTTCATAATGATAGTATATCTTTTTTTTCATACACAATTCCAAAGGTTGTTCTTGATGCATCGTTTGTAAACTATAGTTGCTAGATTTTTGGTCTACAGATGTGGTCTTTAGTCGGAATCCTAGCTCACATTCATAGTTATTATTTTTGTGTTATTTGTCTAACTAATATCAAAACAAGTCACTAGATATAAGGTTGATGTCAAATTATAATTTTAGCCTTTAAACTAACACCAACATGAAAGAAGATTTAAAAAAGGATAATTTGTTTTAAAAAAAGATCATTCGTGGAAAGACACCATAAAAGGATTACGGAAGTAATATTTGATAATAGATGACTAAATTAAATATGGAAATCTCCTTGTTGTAAAGAACCAATTATGAAATTTACTCAATACTAAAATATGAGTTTCATGTTTTCATTCTAGAAGTGGGGCCAGTGCCTTGTGACAACCTCACATTGTATGTTGGTATTCCATATTGTTTTTGGGTATTATATAGAAACATTATTAACATTGTAAGTTCTATTTTAGAAATAAAAATATAATGTTTTTATTTTAGTTGTTTCTCTATGTTTTGTTTAGTATTTTTTTCTAATTAAATTATTCATAGGCTCAAATTTTGACCTTTTTCTTTGTCAATTTTTATTATTCCTTTGATAAAATAATATAGTCGTGTTACTTATTATTTTTTAGAATTTCTAATATATATATATATATATATATATATATATATATATATAATTTTAAATAAATTAAATTAAATACTTCCTCCGTCCCAGTGTATTTGTACAGTTTGACTTTTTCAAGTCAAACTGAATAAATTTTGAACTCCAATTACTCTCAATTTGTATTGCATATTAGTATAATGAAATACAATTTTAAAAGTTCTCAATACGATAAATTTAATAAAATCATTTTTATGTTAAAATATATTATGATTTTTATTTAATTAAACTTCAAAATTTGTCCAGTTTGACTCAAAAAAGTCAAACTAGATAAATGTACTGGAATGGAGGAAGTATAACTTTAATGTGATATCCTTATACTCATAAAGCTAGGAAATGCGATTATGCCAAGCAAGGCCAAACCCCACAAAGTCACACAGACCGTTCAGATTTGGTGAAAAATATTCATAGCTTAATGGTTATGTAAAGGATGGGAAACTTTTAATTTTTGCTTTATTTATACCAGTAGTATATTTTACGGAGTACTCCGTATTATTTAGAAGGCCCCCCCCCCCCTCCCCCCAAAAAAAATATAAAGAAAAGTGAGTAATTAAAATAAATCTTCGTAGAGAAATACAGAATCGAAACTCAAAAGAGATGATGAGGAGCACTACTTTTAATGCTTTTTTTATGGGTTTTTGCAAAAGAAATGTCTAACTTTTTCTCACTTTGGTTTTTGTTGTGACCCCAGGCCAGCAAAAACATTCTTTTCTCCACAAAGCATTATATGTAAAGCTGTAGAATATATAATTGGGGTTACCAATTATTAATAAAAGAACGGTAGTATTCGGTATCAAAAGATGATTTTCGTTCATTTTGAGTTCATTCGGTGTTCCAAATAAAAAATTGATGCTTCCTATATCTTTCGAGCCATGTGCACCCACCTTAAACCCCTTCAAATAATAGCCACACATTTGGAGGGATAAAAGGAGAATTCTAGGATGGGGGGCAGGGGTTAGAGTGAGGTGGGGGTGCGGTAGATAGTTTAGGGATGGAGTTAGGATGGGTAAGAACTATCAATTTTGTGAATGAAGCACGGAAGAAGTTCCAAATAAACGAGTATCATCCGTTGACACCGAATATCAGTGTCAACGGAACCTTGCTTGCCGATAAAAGAAAAACTCGATACAATACTTTTTATTTTTTCTGTGTCAATTTTCACTAATTTTTGAATTCAAATAATTACGTAATTAACTTGCATCAATAACTTATTTTATGGATGACGAGAGTAATTATTTTATTCGACTTTTATATTGGAGATGCAAATTTAATTTGTTTTTTCAAAAGTACTCATCTCAATTGGAGTAGAACAAGCATATCCTCCGTATTAGAATAAATTAAAATAAATTTTAATGATTTTAGTTTTAAATCTACCTTTTAATTTGTGCCACAAGATATGGAACGTGGGTATCCCAAAGGGGTGCAAAGTGTCCACCCGCATGGCCCTCAAACTTCTAGGATCCTATATTGCTAAATGTTCATTATTTTAATTACTTGATATTTAAAATTTAAAATAAATTTATATTTTAATATTCAAATTGTTAATATTTTAAATTTTAATATAAATTTATATTTTGATATTCAAGTTGTTAAAAAAGTTGTTATTAAAAATCAAAATTGGCACAAATTTAAAGTACAAATACTCTAAAAAATAAAACAGGACCCAACACTTAAATTTTGCACATGACCGATTTCATGTTTTCACATTTCCAAGCCTACCTTGATATGAAGGCTCTCAAACGATTAGATATATGGCTATCAAACTATACCATATGAAAACAAATTAAATTAATGTGGTACATGCTGCTAGAGTAGTTTTTTTTTTTAAATATACTTTTGTCTCTTTTGAAGCCCATAAAGTAATCCGTGAAGACAAGATTTTCCTTTAGTTGTCCAAAAAAAATCACAATTTGGTTTGAATGGGAAACTCTAGTTTTTAAGTTTCTAGACCGAAAAGCAAACATGAAGAATGAAATAAGGCCGGCCAAAGGCCTAAATTTATTTTACTCCTTTTGCTTTTGTTTAGTAGATAAAAAAGCAAAGCCGACTCCACAAACAGAACAATGCATGAGATGAATCGTAACTTGGAACAATTGGACAATAAACAGAAATGATCGAACATAGAACAACAAAAAGATTTACAGCCGACTCCACAAACAGAATAAATAATGGAGTTAGAAATAAGTAGAAAACAGATTCACTAAATAATATTCATGAGATGAATCATAGATTTGGAACAATCGGTCAGTAAACAGAATTGATCGAACATAGAAAAACAAAAAACTTACAACCTTGTATGCGGACAGGGATGAGGTCGATGTATCACGACGATGGAAGTATTTGAGAAAGCCGGTCGTTTTTATTGGATCAAAGAATCGGCGTTTGCATCTGGATCGAAGAATCGGCAGTTGCCATTGGAACGAAAACTCATTCACCTCTTGTTTTGAAAAAAACTTTCATTGTTGCCATTGGTCGTTGCCATCATGATTCTTCGATCCAATGGCAACCGCCGATTCTTCGATCCAGAAGCAAACGCCAATTCTTCGATCCAATGGCAACAACCGGTTTTCTCAAATATTTCTCACCTCATCTCTGTCTGCCTACAAGGTTGTAACTTGTAAGTCTTTTTGTTAATCTATGTTCGATCAATTCTGTTTATTATCCGATTGTTTTAAATATATGATTCATCTCATGCATATTCAGTGAATCTGTTTTCTACTTATTTTTAGCTCCATTATTTGTTCTGTTTGTGGAGTAGGCTGTAAGTCTTTTTTATGTTCTATGTTCAATCATTTTTGTTGTTGTCCGATTGTTCCAAATCTATGATTCACCTCATGCATGTTTAGTGAATCTGTTTTCTACTTATTCCTAGCTCCATTGTTCTATTTGTGGAGTCGGCTATAAGTCTTTTTATTGTTCTATGTTCGATCATTTCTGTTTATTGTCCGATTGTTCCAAATCATGATTCATCCCATGCATGTTTATTGAATCTGTTTATTGACTTATTACTGATAAACTTTTTTAACTTATAAGCTGCTAATAAGGTAAATATTCTTTTGTGGAAGTAAAATGACTTAAATGATACTCCCTCCGTCTCACAAAAAAGTTCTCATTTTGACCATAAATTGGTCACACTGTTGCACACTTTGATCTTAAATTAAATATAATCTAAATAAAGAAATGCTAAAAAAATTTGAGATATCAAAACTAGATCATAAGATGAATCTAATTATATAAAATTTATTTCATAATTCAAAATTCAATATACCGTTCTCACAATTTGTAGTCAAAGCGTGTAAATATTTGACTAAATACTATTCAAAATGGGAACTTTTTTGTGGGACGGAGGGAGTAGATAAATCATTTGTAAATATTTATGAATGGTGAGTAACAATTTTGTAAATAATCTTGTCAAAATGGAGAAACAAAAAAACAGAGGAAGACATTTTTTTGTGTACTTGAATGACATTTTTTTTGTTACTCTTTACTATTCAATTTCATCTCTCTATTTTCTTTTCATCCAAACATTATGTACATGCGGTAAATGAAAACTTAACTTAGGAATGTAATTTCATTTACGAATAGTTATTTGCAAACAATTATTAAATTAAACATATAATATTTCTCGATTAACTAAGATAACTACTTACTAATTAAAATCGTCAAATCAAATACTAATTCAAACTAGTTAATACTAATACAAACAAATAAGCAGAATTTTTAAACAAACTACACTTTTTTAAATATGAGACTTCTTTTTATCCAATGACATGAACCAACGAAATATTAGGAAATTATTAGTAATTGTCAAAGAGGGATTAAAAGAAAATTAATGGCCAAATGGCAAAATTTAAATAAAATTAAATACGGAGGACTATTCATGAGGTAAGCCGCCTAAACGTCAGGTGCCGGCGGCGGCGAGTTAATTGGAAGTCCACGGCCAGGCGAGGCCAATGGGGTGAAATACGACGGCGAGGCGCATGGAGTGGCGAACGGCGTCGTTTCTATATTCACACAGCAATGATCGGCCGTCGAACAAACCACCGCCGGCTTAATTTCCGGCGTCCCCTGCTCGATCTGGAAACAGTCCTCCAAACTCCTCCGGCCACCGTCGCATTTCCACTCCGGACCCTTCTCCGCCGAATTAGAGCAAACAGATTCCATTTCCTCCTTCTCTTCTTCCTTGATCGTGAATAGAATCTTGGAGGGCCCGTAGAGGCCGCCGCCGGAAAGCTTCAGCAGGTCGACGAGATCCATCTCCGGCGACTCAGGGGACGGCCCGGCCGAGTCTTCGACGCCCGGGGTGGAGCTGGGCTCGACCCTGGAGGGGTGCGCGGCAGTCCTGAGGCAGAAAAACAAGAAAACCTCTTTTGATGCCAGCGGAGACCGGCGTTCGTCATCGCCGGAGACAGGGGGAACGGTGCGGCGGCGGCGGCGGCGGCAGAGGACGAGAATGAACTGGGCAAAGATAGCTACGAGAAAGGCTGCAAAGACTACGGAGAGTGAGGTGCCTAATTTGCTGACGCCGGCGGCGGACATATTTGAGGGAGGTTTTAGTGAGTGCGGCGGTTGAACGTCGGCATGGAAGTGGTTGAGAATTTCTTGTGGGAAGGGGATTGGTCTTCTAACGGATCAATTTTTTCATAAGGAACAGGCGAAACCAAAAGGGTGGGGCATAAGACTGGCTTTTGGACTTTAATTAAATGAGCCGATGGAATAAGAAGTGTTTGGAATTTGGATTGGATATGCACTCTCCCATTCAAATATGATAGATTGATAGTCTTACCCTTAAATACTCTCATGATTGATTTATTTTTAAATTATTTTATATAAAAATTAATATAAAAAAATAAATGTTTAAATACTAGATAAAAATCTACAAATTTAGAGGTGATATTAATATATTATTTTATTAAAATGCATAAAATTTGATTGTATGAATAGCATAGGAGAAGATAATTATTTCCAGAACTCTTTATTTGAACAACGTATCAATTTCTTTAATTTTTAAAATAATTTTATTTAGAGCTTCTTAGCGAAATCGTAATATATACAATACAATACGGTATATACGATGTATCCGCGACGAATCCTCATTTAAGAGTGATTGAATATTTATTTTCGAGCAACTGGATACTCATTTTTTAGTAAGCGAACACTCATTTTTCTAAAATTTAATTATGCTCAAAAATGAATATTCAGCAACTCAATCCCACACACTTATCAGCTTATTAATGCGGAGCTAGCCCTACGGTGTGTAGATGCCATCTCCCCCGGATCCTGCAACTTAAATGCAAAATTCAACTTCGTTGGTTGGTATATACAACTCCGCCATCCTCACTCGACAAAGCATGGCAAGTGACGATGATGTTTTAAAATCAGTGTTGTCAAAGTACCAAGCCCAATATTATAGTTGTGTCCCACATCTGAAAGCGGGGAGATATTGACTAGGGACCCAAAGTTGGTTCCGGTACCCAATGAGGTCTCTTGGGTGAAACGGATCGGACCAAGATGCCAGAGTCCGGAGAATATAGTAGTCTCGGAGGGTCCGACGACGCTCATTGGACGTCGGCGTTGCTAAGTGACGACGACATCATTTAGACCCATCCAGAGCCGACATAGCCCTCGGGAGAGACAAGGTGAAGAGGCATCATCATCGATGGCACCCGGGCCCAAAAAGTCAACACAATCGACAACCTTGTCTCTGCCGTGGCTGCCTTTAACCAAGTGCATTAAGACAAGATTCGGCTACAAAGTAAAGCACTTCAGCTGGAGCGCGAACGTAATGAGCTAAAAGTTAATGAGATTTTGATCGTGGGTGTTAATCATTTGTCACATCTAGAGCGTGCGATTACTAAAAAATAAAGGATAAAATTATCCGGAAGTGGTTTGGAGTGCGACCAACAATTTGGGCGGCTCTTTGATTTTCTAATCAAGTAGTTTTTTTAATCTAGTACTTGTATTTTCTTTTTTACCATTTATCACACTCATTGTTTTTTTCGCATTATGTTAATGTAATTTTTAAAAAAAAGAATTTTAATGAAATTTTTATTTAATATTTTTTAAGTGATTTTAATTTAAATATTTTCAAAAAAAAAGGTGTGATGGGCGTGAGCCCCACCCCTATCCAATGATGGTTGTGATGTGAAAGAGAAAAGTTGATGTGGTGTTGAGTGAGATGACGTGATAAACGTGATGAGGAATACCACACCTACCAGCCTAACACGCCTTTCACGGGCACACGCAGCCACTTTGAGCCTTGCATGTAAAATTTTATTTTTTTAAAACTTGGTGGCGGTAAGTTTTGGACTCGTGACTTCTTTGTAAACAAGACTCTGATACCATACATGTCAAAGGTTTTCTCACCGCAAGCATTACATTTTTCATGAGGGATTTGCGCCTGCGCAGATACTCCGAATCTTACTTGGCAAATGATCGTATAGATAGTCGTTCGACAATTGATTATCTTATTTATCTTGGTGATAATCTTATTTCTTGGAGTACATAAAACCAGACACATTTTTTTAATATTCTCTTCGTCCAAATTTAATTGTTACTTCTAAGAAATAAGCTCAAAATGTCAAATAAATCTTTTTAAATCGTATCCTACTTTATCTTATATAATCTCTCATATATTTTAGATAGTTCATCACAATCTTGTTAGTACATATGAAAAATAAATATATTATCCTGGATAAATGAAAGCAAATAGATAATTAAATTCAAACAGATGAAATATTACTGTGACACATTATTTTGCTTTAAAATTTCAAAAAAAAAAAACTAGGGCAATACTTTGTATTTGCACGTCTCCTCCACGTTGGGTATGTTAGATATATATGACTAAAATGGTGTGTTTGTGAGTATACATGGGTAAAAAAGATTGAGTAACAATTCAGCTTTCCTTTACAAAAAAGGGACTGAGTAACAACTTCATCTTGGAGTAAGAATTACGTGCGTGGCAGTTTTTTTACCGCAGAGATCGAACCTTGGTTTATTTGAAAGGTACCCTCATTTGAATTGGAGCATTTTAAAATATTTATCTTGTCTAATTTTTTCAAATCATATTAAGGGTCCATTTGGTATACGGAATTGACGGAATTGAAATTCCATGGAATTTAATTCCATAGAATTGAATTCTACCAATTCTAATTCATTTTTTACACTATCAATTCCAAATCCACATAATTTTTGTGCTACCAAACACCAGAATTGGAAATGAAGTCTTCAATTCCAATTTCATAGTTTGAATTTCGTGTACCAAACGGGACCTAAACAAATTTAATAACTAATTACTAGTACATTATATATTTATACAATAAGATAATTTTTTTAAGAAAAACTTTCTCTACGGCAAGTATAATAAGTCGTTGTTGTGCCACGGAGTAATATAAAATTCCATCTTAATTTGATTAGTTAATTAACTGGGACACAAGTAATAAGTTGTTGAATTTTTGCACAAAATGTGGGGGTGAGGTGGAGTGATTTTGACATTGGACCCACCAAAATAAATTAGGGTAATTTACTACCAAAATGTGGGGGTGTGGTGGGCAAATTTCACAATAAATTGTGAGTGACTTGAACTAACTCACAATCACATTCCATGCTCAATTTGTCCGGGGATAAACTTCATAATCCGAATATAAGAAATTTGAAATAAAGTATGGCACAATGAAAGTTTGATTAGATTCAATCTACTGAAAAAATGATCAATAAATTTATTGCCTTAAAAGAGAATTCGAAAAGTGTGATATTTATTTTACGACGGGCAAAGAAAATACTCCGTATAAATTTCATTTTTGGACAAGAGATGTTTCCATCGTCACCTTAATTTTAAAAAAAGTTATTCAGGTTCAAACAAACAAATTTTGCATGAGTGCAACAATGTAATGTTCTATACAGTATTTTAAAGATGTTGATTGATTTCAAAAATGCAAACACCAAAAGTTGTCGTTAGATAACATTTTTAAAACATTAAAATAAACCATCGGTTCAAGTGACATTTACTTTGAATTTCATTGGTAAAATTGATAGCTCATAACCCCCTCCCCCTAAACCCCCCTGCAGCTCCGGGCCCCCTCCCTTTCATCGATAGGTTAAAGGGATACAAACCATTAATTTTACCTATGGAGCCTCGTAAGAGTCTCGTAACCGGCCCTTGAAAGCTAATACGGAGTATCACACAAAGACAGTAAATAAGAATTTTTCTACTTGGTTCAGTCTCGGTTGATGGTAAGATTTAATTTTCTGGGCAATGAAAAGATTGGGCTCAGAAGTGTGTTTTACTTTAATTCATATAAGCCCATCAGACCCACTGCAAACAATGTTTAGTCCATTTCTATCGAGAGCTTTTTCTGGATAATGAAATGATTGGGATAATGAAATGATTGGGCTGAGGAGTATGAAGAATGCTATACATTGGGCTGGTTCCGTAAATAGAGGAATCGAATACGGAGTAACATGTAAAATTGATTGGTGATTCCGTGCACCCAAAGTCTAACGCCTAATTTAAAAACTCTCCTAAAAATTGTTAGGCTTAGAAGCTAATGTGAAAAGGGCTTCTTCCACCGAAGCTAATGTGCCTATTACTAATGTTAATCCTAATCCTAATTTCCTTATTCAAATCATAATCTTAATCCCCTAATCCTAATCTCATAATCCAAATCCTAATCTCCTAATCATAATCCTAAGGGGCTGTTTGGCAACTTCTGAATACGCAAGTGCTGAACCAGTAAGAGCTCTGAATTATTAAGTGTTGAATCAATAAGAGATCTGAACCATTAAGAGCTAGTATATTGCTTAACTATTCAGAGGCAAATTTCTAATCAATTCAGATAAGAGGTCTTAACCATTCAGACTCTGTATAATACTTAACCATTCAGAGGCAAATGTCTGAACCATTCAGACATCTGAACCATTAAAAGGCTGAAACAAACAGTCTGAACCATTAAGTGCTGAACCATTCAGACATTTGAACCATTAAGAGGCTGAAACAAACAGCCCCTAATACTAATACTAATACTAGTACTAAGAAGTCCACATAAGCAAGATCCATATAATTAGAATGGATATGACCATCTAAAAACCATAGAAGTACTTGCCTTGAAAATAACCTTTCCATGAATCCAAAGTCCACGCCTCATTAAGTTCACACTCATTTTATTAAGTTCACACTCATTTTATAAACCTTGATAATTCGTATATAATATGGTTATATGTATCAAGCTTAGTAAAAAAATGAAGATATTCAATTATAAGCTCATACAAAATATGTGAGAAAATTCACATTTCACATGTGAACCTTAGAACAACAATAGCAAAGCTCATTAGGT